TTTATTAGTGTAAAATGTTTATTTTATTTTGTTTATATAAATATAATTATTATAGTTATCAGCGATTGTGTTGTTTAATCCGAATAATGATAATATCGCCCACAAGGATGTCATCAAGTAATTTAATATTAATGATAATCGCAATTATTAAGTAATAATATTTACAATTATTATACTGTTGATAGACTTCAGCATAACATTTACATGCATTTACTTAAGAGATATTTAGCTATGAAATACATCACAGAATGCGAGTCTAAGACTAGATTCTTGAGACTAATGAATACATTACAAGACATTAACCAATTGGGAAGAATGCAAAGGGAAAACATGGCCGGAATTGTGCATGGTCATATTTTACTACCGTATCAACCGATTGTATCCCTCGTCAAAGAAATTATCATGTAATCAGTCATCCCATTGTGTTATTGTTAGGCTATTCATTAATTTCCATTAAATATTCTCATAAATGTTTTGATTCAAAAAAATTACTCAATAAATGTATATAAAAATAAATCAATATATTATTGAATGTCTTTAAATATATCAATAATTTTTTATTTAATTAATTATTATATTATTTAAAAGTATTTGATAGTATTTATGTTACCTTGTTCAATTAATTGAATTAACTGCAAATTCTGTATTTATACTTATTTTTGTCAACAGTTAATGAGTTATTCTAATGTTATAAAAACATAACATAATATATTGATTTTAGTAATGTATGTTGCAACAGTCAATAATTTATTCTAATGGTAATTTTTAATTAATTAAATTTGATTTTTATTAAATATATTCTAATTAAGTATTTTATTTTTAATTTTGTCAATAATTAAATACTCATTCATACAAATGTCACATAAATAACAAAAATAAAATAAAACTCATTTCATTGAATTTAAAAGTATTTGAGATTATTGACGTTACCTTGTTCAATTAATTGAATTAACTGCAAATTCTGTATTTATACTTATATATGTCAACAGTTAATGATTTATTCTAATGGTATATCAATATAATATAAGCATAACATAATATATTTGATTTTATTGTTGTATGTTGCAATTAACATGATACAGTAATATCATTTTACATATTATAAGTTGTGCATGATCAAATTCAATTCCCATTTCAAAAAATTAATTAGCATTAACTTTCCTGAAGGCCATAATAATATTATTAAGAATTCTATAAATAATAAATGATGATTGTAATAATGTTTGGCATGAAATGAATTTATGCAATATATGTATAATTAAATATAAAATAAATCACAATATTCTTGAATGTTTTAATATTAATAAATTGTGACGTCTATTACACCAATAATTATTATGTTAACAAAATGCCAAAAATATTGGTAGAGTTTGAATTAATCGGTGATATCTAATAGTAAATTAGTCAATCGTAACAGGCTAATTAAGTGTTTTGTTCTAAATTAAGCTCAATTTACTATTGTTGAGACTTGAGTTGATATATCATGTGATATCATGATCTATAAACTGGTTTTTACACTTTAAAATTCGTGCCTAAAATACAGGTTGTGTGTAACAAAAGTTTAGTTGAATTGTATTTAATACACATTCTGTATCTTTATCTGTTTTGTTGTGCAACATTTGCTGATTTATAAACACACCATAATGTATTGTGCAACCAACATAATTATCACAACATATTTTTATTTAAAATGTATTTAAAAATGTGTTCAATTTTATTATTATATATTTATTTTAAAAATCATTCAATCTTTAATACTATGTAAACTTCAATGATATGAATTGAGTGCATATTAGGTGCAACTGTTGTTAAGTTGTTGCAAACTTTATAATACATTTTAGAGTAAAATATGACTGAATTTAAATCAAAGCAAAAAATTCGCGAACCGAAGATATGCGGTGTTTGTGGCCATAAAGCGATTGGTAAGAAATTAATTACATAATCAAAACAACAATTCAATTATTGTCTATACATTTAGGTAAAAATTTTGGTGCAATTTCTTGTGAGCCGTGTAAAGCATTTTTTAGGCGAAACGCGTTGAAAAACACTGTATTTATTACTAATTATAAAACATTATTATCAATACATATCATATTTAATAATAAGTTTAAAGAATATTCTTACCATAATTAATAGTTTGAATGTAGGGATGAAGGAATGTGTGAGATCAGCATATTAACTAGGAAGTTTTGTCAAAAGTGTCGGCTCACCAAATGCTTCGCTATCGGTATGAAGGAGGTAAAGTTTATGACCATAATCGATATTCTTTTATGAGTTAATCACTATTTTTATAACACAAGGAATACATATTGAATGACGAGGAGAGACACATCCGGCGCATGAAAGTAGAAGCAAAACGTACAACATTGAAGGGTAGCGATCAAACCATAGCCACACCGCCGACACCCCATCCCTCGTCCTCGTCGTCGGGCACCGCTTCTTCAGACGAGACGATGACATCATTTTACTCGCAATACAGCAAAACACCCAATAATACTGACGACATGTTTGCTGTGAATTTAAATATTGACGCAAACAACGAGTTAGACTTAAACTTAGACTTAGACTATGCGGTCGACTCTGGCGAACAACTGATCCCAACCGGTGAAAAACAACTAATAATCGGTTCCATTGACGGCAATAACAATAAGAATCACTCGCTTGTCATCGATAACAGTGATATATCGGACGATATGTTCCGAAAGTTGGCACAGTTTGAGCTGTCGGTCATACCTATCGCCAGACCACTGCCGACCGACAGTAACCGTATGAACGACTCCGAGTCCAAAGTACTCGAGCAGTGGATAAGTACCGCACAATTGTTTAAGTTAAATATAACGGCGGACATCGAGACGGCCACACATTCCGATCCACTGTTTGGTCAGACAATGTTTGGCCATATATTAGAGAAAACGGTCCGCAATATTGTCGCCGTTTTGAAAGACTTGCAATCGTTTCAAGGGTTGTGCGAAACCGATCGCATCGCTCTCCTCAAGAATAGCTCGTTTGAATTGATGTATTTGCGGTCTATTGTGTACTACAACGCCGCCACTGATAATTATACTTTACCCATGGTCATTTTGTTTTCTCTCTCTCTCTCTCTCTCTCTCTCTCTTAATTCAGAATGATTATTGAGGTTTATAGATTTAGTCGGGGCCTCCTCCTATAAAAAATAACATGGGATTGCATGGTATTCCCATGGCTATACTTACAATAGGCAATGTTAATTCTATTGGACATTATTCCTATGGGAAATTAAAATATTAAGGAAAGTTCTACTATTTCTATGTTGGGTCTATAGGATATTTCCATTTTAACCACTATGCTATAAGAATTATGTGGTTTTGTAGGACCGTTCGGCTCAAATTCACTGGAATTTATGCNGGGTCTATAGGATATTTCCATTTTAACCACTATGCTATAAGAATTATGTGGTTTTGTAGGACCGTTCGGCTCAAATTCACTGGAATTTATGCTTTTCCTGTGAAAATAATAATTCCTTACTTTTAATGCTAACATTATAAAAGAATCTAACTAAAGTAACTCAAATATATATAAAATCTAACTTACTTTATACTGTATATACTGTATTTGAATGTCTTTAAAAATATGAGTTACAACAATTAGTTTTATAACAATAACTTTGAAAAACTTAATGCCAAACCCTATTTGAATTTTATACAATTGTTTGCAAACATTGTGTTTAATATAGATTTTAATTACAGGGAACCCATAAGTCGGTGGTTATAAAAACCGATTGTTTGAAAGATAAGAATGGAAATGTGTACGGACTACTTATGGGCTTTTATAATAAAATGTTGCTCATTATGGACTCGGATAAGGTTATTTTAGATCTGGTAAGAAAAACTTACTTGATAGTGTAAGGTGTGTTGATTTTATAAATTTTTTTAAATAAATAGTTATCAGCGATTGTGTTGTTTAATCCGGATAACGATTATCTCGTACACAAGGAGGTTATCAAGTAATTTAATATTAATGATAATTGCAATGATTAAGTAATAATATTGACAATTGTTATACTGTTAATAGACTTCAGCAAAACATTTACATGCATTTACTGAAGAGATATTTGGCCATTAAATACATCACAGAATGTGAGTCTAAGACTAGATTCTTGAGACTAATGAATACATTGCAAGACATTAAAGAAATGGGAAGAATACAAAAGCAAAACATGGCCGTAATTGTACGTGGTCATATTTTACCACAATTTCAACATATTGCATCTCTCATAAGTGAAATTATTATGTAATCACTAGGGCGACTATTCTTAGGAAAGTCCCGAATAAAACTAGTTAATAAACTTATCGAGATTTACAGGCTATTAACTCCCAAAATAATAAACACTCTAGTTATCCCATTTACTGTTGTAATATAATTGATAATTTTCAGTAATTTTTCTCCTTATTTTGAAAAATAAATAATACTAATAAGTTATGCCATAAGTTTAGGCCTAATGTAAAAATTAATAAAATATAAATCAAAATATTATTGAATTTATCAAATGTTAATTTAAGCTAAACTGTAGTTCAGGTCTTTTATAACTACAATATTTTGTTGATTAATTTTGTTCCAACAATTCTTTGTCGATATAATATTAATAAAACAATAATTATACTGTATTTTTGTTAATTAATTTAATTTAAACAGAAATGGTTGATAATATTATTTTAAAGAGCATTTCTAATTATATGTCAAATGTTTTTATAACAATATTAAACATTTTATGTGCAGTAATAAAATGAATGGATTTACAGAATATTAAGTTATTAGTTGAGTAAACGTATTGAAGTTTATCAGTTATGTTTGGAGAGATAATATTTATCTAGATTTCACGCATTTTAAACAACAAACATGGAATGTGTCATTTCTAATAAATTTTATGTTTAATTTAATTTTTATTACATTTTTGTCAATTAATTTCTCATAAAAGTTAACATAGAGATTGGTTATTTACAATTACCTAAATTTACATAGTTATTTAAAATACGTTAAAATGAATGACTACATTAAACCGAGTAAAATATGTGGCGCTTGCGGCGATAAAGCTATTGGTGAGTGCATAATATGTTAAAGTATTTAATGTTTAATTAATTATTTTAATTATAAATAAAATTAGACTAAAATTACCACATTCTGTTTTAGCCAACAATTTCGGTGCCCTATCATGTGAACCATGTAAGACATTTTTTCGACGAAACGCTCATAAACTAGCTGTAAATTATATTAATACAATACCATGGTTATTTTATAAAATTAATTAATTACTGGCATTAATTAATCAATTTATAGCTCAAGTGTTTGTATTATGGAAACTGTATTATTGATGAGAAATCGCGAAAGTTTTGCTCAAAATGTCGTTTAAATAAATGTCTGGCCATCGGAATGAGACGGGTATTGATTAACACATTATTATTAATTTTAAGAAATTATATTTTAATTAAAATTATAATTAAAGGATTGGATGAAAGGGGAAGAAGACAATGGCTTACCAGATAATAGCACTGATTATATTGATAATAAAACCAAACGTATAAAAAATAGTCACACATTAAATTCAATGAATGTGTCAACACATCAAGAATATAATGATTTAATGTGTGACATAAATAGTGATACGAATTATATAAATGAACTAGATCAAATAATTATGGACATCGGGGTCAGTTCTGTCACTAAATTGAACACAAATAGCGTAAAAATTACTGAATTAGATCCCAATAACATCGACGAAGAGCTGAACTCAATCTTAAGTAATAAAGATATCAATAAATACATCGACAATAAGCTGAAAATGTCGGTCGAGTTTGAATTATCGGTTATACCGATCGCCCGACCGGTCACTGAATACAAGTCCGCTTTCAATGCGACCGAAATGCAAATACTGTCCGAATTGATGACTACCGCCAAAGCCATGCAATTGACACCCAATGAACATCCCATAGAGATAACCAATTACTGCGAGTTTGGCCACGCGATTGACTTTATATTTGACACCCATATACGAGAAGTGACCAGGTGCATTAAGAGACTCAGCACGTTTAAAACTATGTGCGAGCCCGATCAAATCGCGCTACTCAAACACGGCTGCATTCAAGTGCTATACTGGCGATCGATCATTCGCTACGATTACGCCCAACAGCTCTTGGTCGTGCCAACAGTTTGTGCTATTTATTTTTGTGTTACCATGTATATTTTCTTATATTTTATCAGGTGTGATTTCATTTATAGCCCACAAACTTAACGGTATCGCTTAAATTGGATTTTCTTAAATATTGCGCTAAAAACTCTTACAGCGCTTACAAAGAGTTTGTGCAAAACATTGGTCTTATTTGGGACTCGGATTATGTTATAATTAATTTGGTATTAATAGTAATAAAATTATAATTATTATTAATTGTACTTAATTTTTGTCTCTTTTCATATAATTGCTTAGATGATGTCCATAATTGTATTTAACCCGGGTAATTTTGATTTGGTAAACCGGGACGCTATCAAGTATATGTTTTTAATTTAACTAAATATAATTAGTACTAATTAATAAATAAATGAATTTAACCCTTAAATGATAGATTACAACAACACGTATACATGTATTTACTTCAACGCTATTTAATACTGAAATACGGGTCGGAATGCTCTGCGAAGACACGATTCCTACAACTGATGAATACATTGAATGAATTGAATGCCATTAGAGAAGTGCAGAGAAAAGAGATCATCACTTTTATAACACAACGAGCGCTAATTGTATCACCACTTCTAAGAGAGATCTATGATCTTGATGAAATTGCTACCTAGATTTAATTGTTTTTACCCTATATTGTTTTGTTGTAATCTATTGTATTTGATGTGATAATTAATTGTATAATAATAATACATGATTAACCTTAATGAGTTTATTTTTATTTACTCATAAATAAATAAATAAATAAATCTCCATCATAATTTTAATTAGAATTAAATTCAAATTTTGCCTAGATTAACACATCGTTGCATGCATGCTGAATTGCGCATGATAATTTAGTGCACCATTACTAATTGAATAATCCAATTGTATGTATTGATTAGTAATCGCTATTATTTATCATTTGATTATATTTATTAAAATTATTTATTGAGTGAATTGCGAAATACATGTCAATAATGTTGAGAATGTTTGGGCCTTTTATATCCGTACAAAAAAATGTTTTTTAATATTTTTAAGTGTTAGACAAAAATTATAAATTGTGTGTTTGGAGAGAGAGAGAGAGAGAGAGAGAGAGAGAGAGATGACAGGTGTTATAGTAAATTGAAGTCAATTTTATTTCAATGTTTTAGACGCTATTGGTAATACTTGTCACAAACCAAGGTCTTGGTATTTAAATAAAATAAATGTCCCTTTAATTGATCTTAATAACTACCTTTAACTACCTCTTTCATTATGCATTTGTGTGACACACTGTACTAATATTTTAGGAAATTAAGTACAATTATTCTTTTAGAACTTGGTTTTTATTTAAATTTGCTGATTAAATACAACAACATTTCCATTTAATAAATTAATTTAATGAATAATTAATGACAATTTTTACTAACAAACTGTAGTAAGAATTCATTCTAGAAATTATCTAGCTTCTAAATTGTAGGACAACATGTTTAATCACAACTATCATATAATTATTTTAATTCTATGAATACCATATTATTGGCAATGTAATGCAGTAGACTGTAATGATAAGAGTAACAAAAATAATATTTTTCTCATTTACAAGGAATTTCTTTATGTTTAAAATTTATTTTAGTGTATTTATGTAAACATAACATATATTTTAAACGCTAATTAGAGTTATTGAAAATTATTTGTTTTTAATAAACAAATATTTATTTGTAGTGTTTGCTAACAAGTTAGTATTTTAGTTATTTGTCTTTAAGGTAGTCTCTCTCTCTCTCTCTCTCTCTCTCTCTCTCTCTCTCTCTCTCTCTC